AGATAAAGAGATAGAGAGAGAGAGAGAGAGAGACAGAGAGAGGCAAGTATAGAAAAGCGAAAAAGAGAGAGGAAGAGAAGGTGATTATGAGAGAGCGAGAGACAGAGAGGTGATGGAGAAAGTGAGAGAGGAAGAAAGAAATAGGAAGAGTTAGATACAGAAAGTTGGATAAATATAAAGAGGGAAACATATCAAGAGAAAGAGCCTGAGACAGAGGCAGAGCATTAGACTGAGAGAGTGAGATAGAATGAGAGTGAGAGAGACATAGAGAGAGAGACATAGAGAGAGAGACATAGAGAGAGAGAGACATAGAGAGAGACATAGAGAGAGAGAGAGACATAGAGAGGCATAGAGAGAGAGACATAGAGAGAGGTTAGAGGTAGAGACATTCAGAGTACAAATAATAGATATATACATGGAGAAACACAAAAGGGAAAGAATGATAGACAAAGAGAGGTGAAGACATTGTGAGAGTTTGAGAAATAGTTAAGGGCAGATCGAGAGGGAGAAAGAGATAGAGAGTGAATGCGAGACTGATGGCTTGAGAAAGAAAGGCAAAAGTGTGGAGAAAGAGCGAGATAAAGTGTGGAAAAAAAGGAGAGAAAGATAGGTTGAGAGAAAGAAACAAGAATTGAAAATGAGAAAGGTGATGCATGATAGATTGAGAGAGCTAGAATGAAGAAGAGTGCGAGACAGGGAAAAAGCAATATATGCAGAAATAGAGAAAAGAAAGCAAAGGCGAGAGAGAGAGAGAGAGAGAGAGAGGAGGGGGGAGGAATAAGTGGCAATCACCAACAGAAGTTGAGAGCACTATCAATCAGCAGAGGCATTCGCTCATTTCCATTCCCAATCACGTCTGATTGGTAAACATTTAGGGAATCTGCTTATGAGCACCTCCCGAGCCTTGGTATTCACACCGGAATAGAATTGCCTCCACACACAGGCCAACAGCTTATCGGGCTGCTCATAAGCCACTCGACAGAGGGAAGAGGGGGAGGGAGAGTGTGAGCTGAAAGCTAGTTTCACTTAATGCGAAATACGAAATATTGATGAATAAATGTTTTTATTTGTTGTAATGCGAGAATAAAAGAGACGCAGCGAGGGCAATGAAAACATTTTAAATGATTATTCGGAATCTCTTGTTGCCGGCTCGGTGACTGTTTGGCAATTGTTGTTCATCAACAATTCCCAACATGAGCCCCCTATGCATGCTCCACACCCACACACACACACACGCACATACGCACACGCACACACACACACATCTATATGCAAATGCTGAGAATAATAGACACTTGGCTTGAATGACAACGGAAATTGGGAAGGAGCTTGGGGTTTCTTGCTCGGTTTGCGACTCGCTGGCAAATCAAAGGCAAAACCGCAAACCGAAGACTTTAGTTTACTAGACTGCCACGCCCATCGCATATCCATTGGGATATATTGTTAACAGAACTTGAGGCGCAAGCAAAAGGAAAGGGGAAAAAAACAGCACAACTCAAACGAAAACCGTAGAAATTTGCAAAGAGAAAGAGTGACACTCTGTATACCCTATAAAGCGACTCAAAAGTGGTCGGGTAGCGGGTGGCGGGTCGGCGGATCAGCGGTGCTGCATTCATTCATTCAAATGAACTAATTACTTATGCAAACGCAGCCACAGAGAGCTAACTGGCCGCAGGGCACGCTCAAAAATGCAATCGGTTATGGTTCTCTCATTTTGTACCCCCTCTCTCTTCCTCTCTTCCAATCTCTGTCCTTTTCTCTTTGTCTGTTTGGCAATGGGGCAAACAATTGTCCATTGATTGACAAAACGACCGGAAAGCGTCCGTGGTGCATGCCCCACCACGGCGTTCAGTTGGTGCACTGAAAATATATGTTGTACACGGTAATATGCATATGAAAGGCTCTCCATTGTCATATATGTACTTAAATTCTCTGATATTTCTGAAAATGTGATATTTTAGAAGGAAATGAGCCACGAGCTCAATTAGCCTTAATTTGTTTTGGTGACTCTCAGAAACAGTTAATGATAATAGATTTGGTTTCGTTTAGTTGTTTGCAATTGATTTATATTCATAGAACAAAAGTATATGTAATTCTCAGAAGAATTAAACTACATAGCAGAGGTTCTAAAAGGCGAAGAGATGAACCAACAAGTACTGCTTAGCGAACGATGTCTGAGAGTAAGAGAGAGAGAGAGAGAGAGAGTAAGGCTAATGGGGTATTCTTCGAAAGGGATTTGATAGTGCCCTTTGCTGCTTGCTAAGCCTAATTAAATAATATAAATAAAATAAAGCCTCAAATTCGTATGCATGTAGCGTATGTATATGCATATGAATTCTATTCGATCATCGAAGTATAGAAAAAAATGTACTACCTTAAAAAACCGTTTCATTATTTAACTCTGTTCGCTAGATCAACCAATAGGAGTCATGCTCACACGCTCACGCTCTGAACAAGAGTCTTCGTTTCTTTTCGTTTTTCTGTTTTCTGATGAGCGCCTTGAGTTGAACTATTCGTATGATGCTCGTTAAACGAACATCGTTCAGAGAGAGATACGATTGACGCTCGCTCAATAATAAAGCAAAGACACTCAATGCAAACGCACTTCACATTCACACTCACATACACATTTAACACACTCAACTCACGTACGCTATTGATATGTTTAGCGAGCTAAGCTCTCGCCTACATACTAATACAGGTATAAAAGACTGCTTCATTTCACTCAACCAAACGGTCAGCGAACGACCAGAAAGCCGATCACGAGAGAGCTCGTTCAGGAACCGTTGCAATCGGCTGCTCTCTGAGTTTCTTCTTAGAGTGTGAGCAAAGACTTATTTGAGTGTTTACTCTCTTGACGTTCAACACATTCCATTCATAAGCAATGGAAATTCTTTGCCTTTATTTACAATTCCAATAGAATATTAGAACATTAAATAAATCACAATAATAAATCGATGATTGATAAATGATTATTCAAAACTGTTGCCTATATTCGCGCGCACATTCCACTTCTCTGAGAGAGTTAATAAGCCAGATAGGAAAAGTCGCAGTCGGGCAGACTCCGTTGTTTGCATCTCAGTTGCGCGCTCGTCAGTCTCGTCAGACTGTCATGTGCAGTTCGACGCGAAGTTGCGGCCAGCCTGACCGACACGAGCCGTGCCGGATGTGAATTCTAGTCGCTGGCGATCTGGTTGGGCGTGCAGCAGGAGAGAGTGAAGAGTGCAGAGAGTGGCGAGCATGGCGAGAGCACTCGAGAGCGCTGTGGGACTGAAGTTAAATTGAGCTGCCAGCGAGTTGCCAAAGGACACTACAGGCGGCTGTCACTTGCCGCTGAAGTGGAATGACGGATGCCGTGCGGCACTTGCAATAGAATGCAATTGCCGCAGAACACGCCCGGAATGGCAGTCCGTCTGGCCACCTGTCCGCCCGCCCGCCTGCCCGTTAGGCATGTCCATAGCCGCGAGCTGTGCCGCCCTAGTTTGCCCAGCTCGACGTTGCTTCTGAATAAATAAAGAGGCGCAAATTAAATTTGAAATTTGTTGCCATGCGGCCGCCAAGGGACGCGCAGTGGGGCAGCGAGTGAAATGTAAGTGAAATTGCGACTACGACTACGACTACGACTGCGACTGCGACTGCGACTGCAGCTCCCACGCGATGTAAACAAACGCAATCGAGTGCAAGTTCCAGCTGCAGTTGCTGGCCGCGATTATTGTCAATCACAACAACTTAATGGATGTTAATTTAACTCTGTCTCTTACTCATCCGCTCTCTCTTTCGCTCTTTCGCTGTTTGCCTGTCTCTTTGTATTGCTTCATATTATCAGCAGCGCAGTTTGATAAGCAAAAAGTTGCTCGCAAAGTGCCAAAGGACATTCATTAGAGCTTCTACACCCAGCGCGCAGCACACACACACATACATATTGTATACACATAGGTACACACATAAGCATACTTAATATTTTTTATATGCCACGACAGCAGCAGTAAATTTCTCACATAATTTGGCGTTTCCTTTTATATTTCGTTATCTTCATATTTCTAGCTTTACTTATTTCATTTTCTTTTTTTTTTTTTCTTTTACAGGGTATCAAGCTGGCGGCTGTATATGCGCCGAAGCGACAAAAATGAAAAAGAAATATATTTCATATAAATCCTAATTGAAAGAAAATTAAGAATTCAGTTTCATAACAAATTCCGTTTTCTAATCAAAATTCTTTCTATGCGTGCGAGCTCTACAATTTTTCGATTATATTTTCGATGGCATATTTTTTGCTGCCACAATAAATTCAAATGCAATATTAATTCAGTTGGAGCTTGGCTTGATCAAATTGTGATTTATTTCAAAATAAACATAAATAAATTCGATATGGATTTTTGCATTTATTATACCCTGATTTTTAAAATAATTTTAAGGCTCTCAATTCTCTATCTCTCGGTTTCAGTATTCATAGCCTTTCTCTGCACTTCTCATTGTTGGGCAATTGCAGAGTGTGGCAACAGTCGAGCACACTCGCTTGGCGCAATTTAATTTGCCTTTCGTTGTTGTTGTTGTTGTTGTTGCTTAAGCATCATTTACTTGGCCAGTTGGCCTGCTCTGGCACTCTGACTCTGACTTTGGCTGGAGTTGGCTTAAGTTGGCAAAGGCCAGCCAAGCCAGGCCAAGTCAGCCAGAGTGGGCTGAAAGCCTTGCGGTTCCATATGCGCTGTACGTCCTGTTGTGCCCCTGCTTATATTTATGACAGCATTTGGGCTCGCCGGGCTGCTCGGCCCAGTTATCAAGGTCACGCACCATTGAGCGCTATGCTCCAATCAACGTTCGGCTGCACTTGATGGCACGACATGCGAATATTTCGCTTATGTCGTTCGCCATTTCATGGATTCTCATAAAAAAATTATAGTTTTTTATAGCTACCACATGTCTAGCTTCCTCTTTCTCCCCCTCTCCCCCTCCCCCTCTCCGCCGCTCAGCATCTTGACTAACGATCTGTTTACTTGCAGCTTGAAACGCAGCCGACACAATGCAGACGAATGTGCAAATTGATTCGAAGAATCTGCGCAGCAACGATGACAACTTTCGTTCACGCAGCCATCACATAACGATTGAGGTGAGTCTGCCTTGGGCTAACTGTAATTAACAACCACTTAGCCCGTTGCGGCAAGCAAACAATTTATGCACCAGCTCTGACATTGACTCCTGGCCGGCTTCAATGCAGATTGCAGCAGGAATCGCCTGCGACATTCAATAACAATTTGTATATATATTAAGTGCTTCAAATTGTGGCAAAACCAGATCAAGCCAACTCAGGCCAGGCCAGGCCAGGCCAGGCCAAATGCCCAATGGGCCTGGGGGGCGTATGAGTTATATCAGAGTTTGCTGCTGGGACTAGCAAATCATTTAAGGCGTCTTTTCATTAGTTTGACAAGTGATTAAAATGCAATTCTAATTGAAGCACAAGCACACACAAAGACACGTGTACACAAACACACACACATGCATACATGTGCACACACACACACACAAAATACACACAGCTGTTAGTAGTTGGCGATGCTTAATTTATGCAAAATTCACAACTTGAAGCTGAAACTTGAGCATTTGTTGGTTAACAAATTTCGAGATTTTTCATATTAAGTTGAATAAGTTGGATAGTAATATTAGCTAATATCTCATTAAGTATAAGTACCTAATACCAAAAATTAGATTCAATAATTTGCAAATTTAGATTTCTCTGCAAGATATCAGGTCATATATCAACATGCAAAATTAATCATTTTGAATAATTAATAAATATTTGTATTAATAATTAAAAAAGAATTTTTAATGATAACTAAAATATTTTAATAAGTAATAATGTATAATAAAAATAAACTAAAATTAATAATTTACTAAATTATAGACTAACCAGCCGAAGGCCTCTGTAGCTAGTGTTTTGTATTATCTCTAATCTCTAAATAATTTTGTTAAATTAGCTATAAATTGAATATGCTATATTTAAATTTAAGCTTTTAGAATATATATGACAATTTTTATCTACAGCTCATTTCATAGTCGAATAGAGAATATGCTTTCCGATTGACGTATTTTATTGAAAGCTTTTTAGTTAGTTAGAAAATTCTTTATAAACATAAACAGCTAGAGGACTATCGAAATCTATCGATATCAAGAATCCATTTACTAATTGGCTCGATTTCGATCGGGCGTGGTCGTAAATTCTGTGCTTAAGCTTGAACATTTGCTAGATTCTAAAAAAATCTGAGCATGACTCGTGGCTTTGTGCCGTTATCTGAGCTGAGTATACTACGAGACTACGAGTCGGAAATTGTGCTATGGATACAATAATAAGAATAAGAAATAAACTACAAATTTATGAAATTAATTTATTTAATAATTATATCAAACTTGAAAGATCTGAATAAGCGCTTTCAATGAATAAAAGCACATTTTAAATGAATGCCAAAATATTGTTTACTGGGCTATCAGGCGAAAGCTAACTAACTGAAAGAGCAAAGTTGAGCTTTGTGCAGACAGCTGCCGGCAAATAAAGAGAGCGAGAGAGAGGGAGGAGATAGTGAGAGTGAGAGTAGAGCAATATATACATAAATACTTTAATTAATCTACAGTTATTCAACAATGCCAACTAACTGTTTATATCTCAAATCTTATTAATTTAAAGCAGCTACAATTTCAAGTCAACATAATTAACCGTTAATTATAGCACAAGAATGTGGAGCAGGAGTCAAAGCAATGCAACAAGTGTCTCAAGCTTTTCGGCAGATGTGCTGCTGCTCTCTCTCGCTGCGCAGACGCGCTGCCTCTGCTTGTGCAGGAGCTTTAAAGCTTTGCGAAAGCTTCGCCTACAGCCGCTGCCATGGCACGCAGCATCAGTCAGCTGCGCTGCACACTAAACCCAAACTTGAGGCGAATATCACCAATGAGAATCATCTGATTTTTGTTGTTGCTCCTGCTGCTGCTCCTCCTGCTGCTGCCTCTGCTGCTGCTGCTGCTGCTGCTGCTTCGTTGCTTTTCTCAATGAATGAACGGGCCCCCGTTGGCCGCTGCCGTCGCTGTTTGTCGAGCAACGTAGGGACGTGGGTGCTCGCGCTGTCGCCGTCGTCGTCGTCGTCGTCGTCGTTGTCGTTGGTGTTCATCAGTTGGCAGCGTCGTCGTTTGCCGTCAGTCGCTGGCAACATTTTGGCGCGTGTTGACATGCTAACGAAATTCGGTTAACGCGACGCGCGAAGCTTTTACCGTTAAACGCTTTCAGTTCAGTTTACCGTTATTCGCTTGTCATACGCTTCAAATCAAAATTGTAACCGTAAAACAACAGTTGCAACTTGGCTTTGCCTTTGGCCTCTTCTCAGTTCCGTTTGTTTGTTTCTCGCAAATATCGCAAATATTTTATTTTGTCTTTGTTTTGTTTTTGTTGTTGTTGTTGATGTTTTTGTTTTGTTCTTCTCGTGCTGTGCTATTGTTGTTGTTGTTGTTGTCATCACGATTGTTGTTACACTTCAGCCTGTCTTGCCATATATTGTTTGTCGCCAACCAGCCAGCCGAGCGACAAAAAGGTGGCCCAAAACCGGAGGCAAAAGTATTTTTAAACAGAATTGCGCTTTCATTATAAAATATATACAGATAGATATGTATAAGTATATACTATATATTTTTAATGTGGGGCTACTCGTAAAACACATTCATCAGATTTTAGGCGGACATATCCCTTTGTTCTGTGCCAGTGTTTGTATATATATGTGTGTGTGTGTGTGTGTGTTTCTCTGTCTGTGTGCCGGCATTCCGTTTGGCGCGTAAAATGGCGTCTGTTATCAGCGAAGCTGCTTATCAGGTGCACAGGCCACTAAATCACTGACTCGACACACAATAAACATGTTGCTGTTGCTGTTGCTGTTGATGTTGTTATTGCATTGCTCCCGACAGAGACACACACACACATACTCACACACACACACATGCACACTGGAACAAGAAATAACACACAAAGCACTTGTCTGCTGCATGTAAACGGAATACATAAATATCAAAATGTGCGAACGTGTCCTCATCTCTCTATGTGTGCGCGCGCGTGTGTGTGTGTATGTGTGTGTGTGTGTGCGTGTGTTAGTGTCACTATATGTGTGTGTCTCTGCGCTAGTGCGATTATCATTTATTGTTTACATTGTCGCTGCGTTGGCCAACAACTGGCAACAATGGCAACGCGACACTGACGAACCGTTAAAATCTGTGACCGGAAACGGAAATCCATGTAATGGCATTTTTAATGCGTGCAATCGCTAGCTAAAATGCGTTTTTAATTTGGCATTTGTCAGTGCCTAACGGAACCCTATGCAAATATACACGAACACATACACACACACACACACACAGGCATAAATACAAACATAAATTCATATCACATAGAAGTGCTCAACTTTCAAATGGCACTTTTGCAGCACACACCCACACACACACACACACACACACACACACACACACACACACACACACACACAAGTTGCTGTTGACAGCACTTCAATTGTTGCCAACTTAAAAACTAAGGCAAATGGTTTATGACATCAAGTGGTTGCAGACGCTCAAGCAACAACAATTTTCGTTGCCTACTTTTGAGCGCGTGCTGCAAAAACTTTGAGTTTTTCTGCTGCAAGCGCAAAAAGCGAGTGAAAAAAGTGTGAATTGTGTGCAATTCCAACAAGTTAGATTAAATATATATAAATCTTAATTAATTGTTGCACAGTTTTTTAGTAAATGAGTGCGTAAGTTGGGGGCAAAAATGCAAGAAATGTCAGAGCAAGTAGTTTGCTTATACATGAAATAAATAATTGAAAAGTTTGTCAATATATATATAAATTGTTAAAATAAATATTTTGTATAATATACAAAACTGGAAAAATATAAAATAAAAAGGAGACATGGACTGTAGACAGCTGATTGAAAGTCTTAAAATAAATTTATGAAATATTGTATATAATAGTAAAGATTGATTGAAAAAAAAAATATGTAAAAATTTTAAAATTAAAAAGGAGTACAAATTGTTTTATTATATCATAAACATTAAAACGATTGAAAAATTTTTTTGAAGTCACCTTTTTTATTTTATAACAGAAACTAAAAGAAAAAAAAAACACAAAATTTTATGAAACTTATTAAAATGAAAAAATAACACCCACACAAATTAATGATTTTTTATTATTATTTATTAATAAATCTTTTGTATTAAAAAAATCGTGAAACATTTTATGTTCCTATAAAACTAAAAATATAAATAAATTCAATATAAAATATCAACAAATATTAATATACAAAATTACAATTTTTTTTTACCCAAAAAGTTAGAAATCGCCTGTTAAAAATAATGAAATATTTGAAATGCATAAATTTACCATGTTTAAATTGCTGGAAAAAATATATAATAATATTAATAGGCTTTTTCATTTAAAATATGCTCATAAAAAGTAGCATCAGCTGAGTAGAAGCATAAAAACAAGTATAGTTATAGTTGATATGCATATAAAACATTTGTAATATGCCAACTACTCCAATGACATTGACCATGAGTCGTTAAGGTCAAGCGTTTGCAGCTTGTTGCATGCGATGGCGATAATCGTAAATATTCATAAATATACACAATATGTATACATATAATGTTATAGAGAGTAAGGGATACAGAGAGAGTGAGAGAGAGAGAGAGAGAAATAAGAGAAAGGAATTGGGGAATAGAGGGAGCGCAATCAGGTCTGTGCCCCGCAGGCAGGCAGCAGCAGCAGCAGCAGCAGCTCTGCTCAGTTGGCGTGAAGAAGGGTCTGGCAGGAGGTGTCTATGTCGCTTTATCTTTGTAAAATTATGAATGCGAAACAGACCAACTGCCAATTTGCAGCAACAGCAGCTCAGTTCAGTTCAGTTGAAGGTTTGCTAATAAAAGGCCAGTGGCACTTGGGCCAACGCGGCGCCATCGACTCAAGTGTGGGCCAAGTGCAGCTGGAACTCAATTCAAATGGGATTGCGGTTCATTGTGCCAGGCTGCATTTGAGTGCGTGTCGCTCGCTGCTCTCTGAATGGGCCGCACCTTAGAATTGGTCAAGAGTCGAGAGACGTTTTTTGTCAGTCGGCCGAAAACGTATAAAGGCAAGAGGAAAGCAAATCAAAGAGCGAGCTGTCAGCTTTTGTAACTTATTCAAGGCAAGCAGAGACAATGGGCATTGCTGTAAATCGAGGGTAGATCACGGCTAACCTTGAAACGTGATGCAGGTTAGTGGAGTCATCTGAGGATAGAGGTTACAGGGTATGTATAGCTAAGCCCTCACAGATAGTTAGCCTAGGATAAGTTAATAGAAGCATCTGCTTGCAACTAGAGGGTATTTCATTGTCAAGCACTTATATAGTTGCAGTTAGAGGATATCCTATAGTTATCCACTCACACATAGCTGTACCAGTTTAGTTAAAGAGTAGTTATAGGGTATCACCCAGCTAAGCATTTACACATAATTAGCTTTAAGGCAAGGCCATGCAGTAGACTGCAATGGCAGCAGATAGAGGGTATATAATAGTTATTCATAGTTATCCATAGTTATCCATAGTTATCCTTAGTTATCCCTTGTTATCCATAGTTATCCCTTGTTATCCATAGTTATCCCTAATTATCCCAATATACTAGAGTAGTTACAGGGTATTTTTTAGCTCATTATTTGCACATAAAGGTATGCACAAGAGCTAAGCCAAGCTAATGGACATATTTGACTCTCTCTCTCTCTTTCTCTTATAGCTCCACTCTCACACATAGCTAGACTAGTGTAGTTAGAGGGTATCTCTCAGCTCCGCATTCACACATAGTCAGCCTTAATAGCTTGGCCAAGTTAATAGAGTCATCTAGACGACTCTTGTGTATGCGTTTTTGCCCTTTTTGCTGGTTTTCCTATTTTGGCTATTGCCCACTTAGCAATTCAGGCAAGTTAAATTGTACATAAGCGTTTGAGCAAATAGCGCGAGCAGCCGCAAAATACAAAAGAAAAATCTAAAGAAATTGTTTTAAATGGCTCGAAGCCGTCTTGGCCATTTGGCAAATACTTTGCTTGTGGGGAGGGGGGGGCCAAAGGCAGTTGCGGCGGATTTTCTTCTTATGGCGGGTCACTGACTGCGCTAGACCACAACAATGACAATGACTGTGTGTGTGTGTGCGCGGGTGTGTGTGTGTGTGTGTGTTGCCATTGCTGCTGTTGTCGCTATTCTGGGGCACTCAGCTAGATTATCATATTACATTTGGCTTTTTATGAGTCTCGCTTTTGATTACACGCAAAAATATGTGTGATTTTCTGTCCTCTTTTTTTTCCTTTTTCCTTTTTCGATGCCATTGGAAATGCCCAAAGCAGTTTAGCCCGATGTATATTAAAAAGCCGAAAAGCATTTGCCAATTTTGCTGGCTATGGCTGCTATGGAATTTGACTTGATTTGTTTGCCTTTCACACGGACGCATGGCTCAGACCTTGGCCAGGGCCAGGGCTGGAAATATGAAATGTGGCCTGGTTTACCTAAGGCTTCTGCTTGGCTGCCCACGGGCGCAAATCGAGTTAAACTTGCAAATTTGGCTTGCCTAAGGCACACACACACGCACACACACTAGTGTAATAGATGTATTTATAGTGTTTGTCTAACTAAAAGATAGTCCACTCAAGGCGCAAGTTCTTGTTGTTGTTGTTGTTGCTGCTGTTAGCTTCACGCCTAAAAATAAACGGTCAACGAGCATCCCACACACACACACACTCCCTCTCTCTCTCTCTCTCTCTCTCTCTCTCTCTCTCTCTCTCTCTCTCTCTCTCTCTGTGTGTGTGTTTATGTAATTATGTAAGCCACTTAGGGAAGCTCAGTTTTAATGCAGTTAAAACTTGTCAGTACCTTTTAGGCATAATCGTGTTGATTTAAATGTTTGTCGCTAGCCGACAGCAGCCATAGGAGAACAATGTCACAGTTAATAACAGAACAGAACACGCACACACACACACGCACATATGACCATATGCTAGAGCAGGCCAACGCCCAACACACACACACACACACACACACTAGCACTAGCATAACAGCTCTCGCTCAACTTTCTACAGGCAATAAAACATTTGCAGCATCATTTTGTGTTGCTCGCTTTTTGGGCTAAGGCAGCTCCGAGTACAGTAAAGCATGTTAACACTTTGCTGCTAACAACGAGCATGTCTCTCTCTCTCTGTGTGTGTGTGTGTGTGTTCATCAGGATTCATAAAATTTCAATTAAGCACACACATACACATTCACAGCTCGTTTATGATTGAGGGGGCTGTCTATGATTGTCCGAGAAGTGAATGAATCACAGCGATCAATGCAGCACTCAAATAAAGAAGTTTAGTGAGAAAAGAGGTTCACCAAAAGGAAGGTTTGCTAAAACAGAGGTCCACTGAAAAAGCAATTTAGTAAAAAATCGGTTTACGTAAAGAAAGAATTACTTCCGAGGAGGTTTACTAAATGAAAGGCTTGCCAAAAATGAGGTTTAGCAATAAAAAGTTTTACTAATAAAGAGGTTTATCAAATGAAAGGTTTACTAAAATAGAGCTTTAC